TTATGAAGACACTGAACAGGACTGGACCCAGAGTTACTGCAGTGTGCAGTGTGCGTCCTTAATCATCTGGCAATATTTTGAAGACAGAGATACTAGGGGAAAGCAAGATGTGGTCTGAGAAATACACATAGTGCAAGCATCTTTATACATATTTATATACATATAGCCTTATTTATATAATAGTCTAACAGCTACATTTTAATTATTATTCAGGATCTATAACATTTAGACTGAGCAGTTTCAAAATGTAGAAGATAATTGGCCCCAAGGCTTTAAAACAGCAGTAAAAACTCTGGATGCACTTAGTCTTCATTTTCAAAAAGAATATAGTAAGTCTAAAAAACACAGGAAAAGGCAGCAAGAAAGATTTGAGAGATAGAGTGGTTTCTGTATGAGGAAAGATTCAATAGGGTATGACTCTCTCTTGGAAAAGAAAAGATGGAAGAGATGTGACAGAAAATAGTAAATTCTCAAGTGACCCAGGAAAAGTGAATAAAGAATTACTTTACAATACTTCTTACAATAGAAATGCTAGGAAGGAGCTAAATCATTAAGTTTTAAAAAAATAAGGAAGTACTTTTTTTTCTTTTAAAGCACAAGTCGTTGCCACAGGATGTTGCAGAGCCCGAAAGTATAAATGCATTAAAAAAGTGATTAGATAAATAGATGGAAGAAAGTCTGTCAAGAGCTATTAAACACACAGACGCGGATTCTGTCTCAGGAAGTCTCTAAGCCACAGATTGCTGCAGGTAGTATCAGGGGAAGCATCCCTCTCTACTGGCATTGTTCTCGCCTTCTTCCCTGCTGTTGGCCATTGTTGGAGACAGGATAATGAATGAGCTTGTTCTGACCCAAATAGCCCTATTTGTCCTCTAAAATAATAATAATAAAAAAAGAAACCACATCCCTTTCTAAACAGAGAGAGGTTTTGGAGTTGCAGCTGAAGTTCCGCTATGTGCCAGCATCTGTGGGTTAGGAGCACCTAAGGAAAGATGCAACTTAAAGAAACTGTACCATTAAGTTGCAGAAAAAATGCATGCTAAAATACATAGTTTTCTTTACCAAGAACAGTCTGACTGAAACTGAAGTGAAATCCATGCTCCTGCTGTGTTCCCATACTGAGCAGTGCTCAGCTTGTTAGCTGAATTGAACTGTACTAAATTATTTTATTTAACTTACAAGAAATCTGATTATTCTCTTTAAGAGTCTCTTATTGGTAAAACAATAGCAAGATTTATGAAAGATGAAAATACTCACTGCAGAGTAGACCTCCATTTTTCTTTGTTTTGAAGAATTCGCAGCTTGTTTAATACTATTTAAAATAGTATTCACAAGGACACCTTAAAAGATGGGAACAAGGAAGAGGAAAATTGAGATATGATATTTGCATATAAACCAAAAAGGCTAAGGATTTTGAGTATCAAAATCTACTCAGATCTCATACTCATTTTTTAGTTTACTACAAGTTCATAACTAGACAGAAGATATTACAGAGGTGAATTTGTCATCCAGGTCAAGTGAAGTGGCAGGATTTACAGGAAATAATCTAGAATTATCCTGAGAAATGTGGCTAATGACACTTCCAGTTTTGTTATACTGAGGCCTCCTCTCTAACACTTTTTGTGTGTTTGGAGTGTTGCAATAACGACAGCTGTACTAGCCTCTTCCTCTCTAGATGCTGAAGAAATATTTTAAACTGTTTACTTCCAACAAGTCACACAATATCAATTCTTCATTTTTCCAAAGCTCTTTTGTACTCCTTCTCCAGACCAGAGATTTTCTAAAGCCAATGGGATAAGGGCAGCAGAAATCCCCTGCAGCACCATTTACACCATTCTAAAGAGGGCATAACTGGCTATGAACACTAGAAAAAAGTCCTGACCACATGATATGGCCAGCTGCTATCTAGTGGTCTTTAATGGAGGTCTGAGCCTATAATTACTATGTGGCTTTATCCAGTGATGTCTATGCCTAGATGATGAGGCTGTTAATAATTCCTTATCTAGGTCTAGACTGCAGGGTAGGTGCATTACAAAGCCTAGCCCCAAGCAGTCCAGCCTGCAGATATTCATGCTTACTTGTTTGGATTTCC